AAAAAAAAAAAAAAAAAAAAAAAAAAAAAAAAAAAAAAAACCCTCATCAATGCAAGTTTAATTTTTTTTAAATTTCAACAAAATAAGTGGGATTGAATTTTCTAACAATTTACAGTAAACAAAACCCACTCTCACATGGTGTATCTGCCTCTTAATTTGAATAAAGTTATTGATAGGGCCCTACCAAATTGGTAAATTTCACATTTTCAGATGTTTAAATCTGAAATTTCACAGTGTTGTAACCATGGGGGCCCTGACCCAAAAGGGGATTGTAGGGGGATTGCAAACCTGTTGTAGGGGGTTCACAGGATTGCCACCCTCAGCTGAACTCTGAAGGCAGAAACCGTGGAGTTTCCTGCAGCCGCAGGAGGTTCCTGGAGGTGGAGGTGGGTATGAACTCCCCCCGAGAGCGGCTGTGCAGGGGATGAACAAGTCCTGTCCCTCCCCAGCCCAGCTGGAGCAAGGACCCCCTGGCTGAAGTGCTCCAAGCAGCAGGGAGAGATCGGATTTCACAGGGAAGGGCTTATTTCACAGTCTGTGTGACTCGTTTTTCACGGCCGTGAAATTGGTAGGGCCCTAGTTATTGATATTTGAAAATGTGTATGTAGTCACAGGTCTTGTTACTGTGACTCTTGGACAGTTCTAAAGCAGCTGGGACATGCCACTGTCCAACGCAAAAGTTTATTCCTGTGCAATGTGCTGGCACATGTCATCCCCTGTTGTGATAATTTACCCTAATTGTGAGCTTAACCGTGAAAAGTGAGTGAAAGTTCATAAAATGTCACAGTAACCTATAATAACAAACATTGATGGGAAAAGATGCAAAAGAGAGACAGGAAGACTGAATTAATCCAAACAAAAAAGGCTTCTGATATAACTCAAGGACTGTGTTAAAATCATGCCCAGCAAACAACTGCAGTGTGAGACCAGAAATCAATGAACCAAAATCGGTGCATCAGAAATTAGGTCTAATATAAATCTAGCCTTCATTTATAATGTTAATTCTAGCAATTTTTTCTGTGTGCTGCTTTGTTTGGATGGTGAGAAAGCATTCAACTGGCTGGAGGGGAATACATCAGACATATTTTGGTAAGGTTTGGTTTTGGAAACGAGTTTTCTACAGGCATATTAGCCCTGTATACTCATCCTCATGCGTCTGCCTTGGCTAATGATCATCAATCCGCAACTTTTAATTTGTCCTAGGGGTAAGGGACAGAATTGTCCCTTATTCACCCTCTTTGCTCTGGCAATGGAGCCGTTTGCCATAAATATAAGAAACAGCCTCTTGGTAAAGAGCATCAAAATGTCTTCTGGATTAGAACACAAAAATAGCTTTGAAGTCTGATAATATCTTGTTATATTTGCAGGATCCAGAAGCATCATTAAAAATGATAGAACAGAATTGACTTTGGAATTTGGGCAGGTATCGGGCTTCAAAATACACTATGATAAATCTGAAATTTTAGGAATTAATATTCCTAAAAGGGACAAAACAAACTGCTGTCGGCGGCATAAATTTAAATGGGTAAAGACATATTTAAAATACTTAGGAATAAATATTGTAAAATCTTTTTTTAAGGCAAACAACCCTCCACTGTGGGAAAAAACAACAACATAAGAGTTGGAGAAATTGAACAAATATTAAATTTCTTGGCTAGGTGGGGTAGCCTCATAAAAGATGAATGTCCTCTCAAAGTTGTTATTTTTGTTTCAGTACATCCCAGTTGGTATCCGTGACATGCTTTAAAAACATGGCAGGATGCACTATTAAAATTCATATGGAAACATACAAGACAAAGGGGGAGTTCTAAAGTAGTCCACCCAACTGTGTAGGTTTATTCAGTAGCTTTCCCTAATTTGGCTTATTATTATTATGCATCAAAATTGAAAGACATGATCAATTGCATTAACAATAGACCATCCAAACGCTGGGTAAAACTCGAACAAGACAAGAGCCCAAATATAGCTATTGATAGTAACTGTTAGGTTACAAAGAAATGTAGGTCACCAAAAATAAAAAATCACTCATTCATCCAGGCCACCTTAGCAGCTTTGGGCAACTTTTTAAAAATTCCTTTACCTGAGGCCCTCTCCTTTAGCTACTTTATTACTAGTCACGAATTTATCACTAGGAAATATCAAAGTGACTCCGCATTGTGGGGAAGAGCTGAGATTACTTAGTTTGGACAGCTGTTCCTGGATCCCGATTTGAAATCATACCAAGAGATAGCTAATAATAATTAAGATCCCATATTTTCAATATTTACAAATCAAACATTCTATTGTGAAATCTGGATACAAGATGTCTCTATCTAGACCTTTGACCACATTTGAGGAGTTAATCCAGGAGGAACCTGGAACAAAAGGTTTAATTTCTAAGATATATACAATTTTGATTGAAAAAGATGTTGATAGGAAAACAACCCAGATAAAAAGATGGGAGAGGCATATGGGCAAAGATATTGATATTGATTGAGTGGGAAAGGGAATATACATCTTCAATTTGTGTAGCTCACAAAGATTTTTATAAATTACTGTATAGATGGCATTTGACTCAAGTTAAGCTCAATCATATTTTTACTACTAGGGATGCACTGTGGTGGGGAAAAGGGAACATACTTGCACATATGGTGGTTGTGTCCAGGAACTAGACAGTTTGGGGAGGCAATTATTAAAGAGATTCATCTTATAACAAAATGACAGCTTCCCAGAGATCTCCTGACCTGCTTCCTTACAGTCCAGTAAAGGATGTACATTTTAAAAAGAATGACAAATTAATTTCTTTTTTTTATGGTTAGCAGCAAGGCTAAGTGTTGCTTATTATTGGAAAAATGTGACTTCTCGTCCTATGGAATTGTGGTATTGTAAAATATGGACTCTTCTTGTAATGGAACAGCTTTCACACCAAGTACGTACACAAGAGAAGTGCCAAAAAGAGGATAGGTGTTTAAAAATGTGGTCATCCTTTGTAGCGTACTCAGAGGAGGAGGGCTTGCCAGTTGACGAGTCAGAATCTTTAGACCAGGTTCTTTGAATATTAACATGATGCTGAATAAGTCATGTATGATATAGGAAGTTAATATTTTATTGTATCTTTGCCTTAATAAAAAGTTTCGGAAAAGAAATACTGTGTATTATCATTACAGTGGCACAGTCTCACCTGTACGGATTGGCTCAGCGGCTCCTATCCATTCTCTCCTCCCATTTCACTGAGCAGGGAAATCTCCAGGGACAGTTCAGAAATCCTCTCATCCCCTCTCTTGACAATTGCTCTGTCTAGCTCTTCCAGCTAGGACAGCAGGAAGCTGCTCCTGCAGAAACCCACATAGCTTCTTCCACTCCCGGATGATTTTCTGCCTCTTGACTTCTGTCTGTTTCTGCAATTACAGGGAGAGGGTGGCAAGGTAACCAGGGGAATATCCTACATGTGCCTCCCAGCAGATGCGGGAGATATTGGCTAGAACCCAGAGTCCCTAGTGGTGCATGATGGAAAGTTCACTTAGAACAGGAAGGATGGAGGGCCCAGGACAGGGACAAATGGCAACAGCACAAAAACCTCAACAACTTGTACTGAGCCAAAAATCTCCATCCAGTCAGCCCACATTTTCTCTCCTCTCTCCCCATCTTCCCTAGGCACTCCAGAGAAATCCCAGCCACTATAATATCTGAGCAGCCTCTGGGCAGGGTCTCTCTGGGCCAGTTCACAGACAAGTCCCATACACTGGCAAATGTTCCCCAAGAGCATCATGGTACCCTCCACGTGCTTGACCCCACCCTCCTCCCTGGATTCCAGTGGGGATGGTTTCCTGGCTGAGGCCGGCAGAGGGTCCTTGCGGTTGCCACATCACTCCAGGCACTCTGATCCCAGGCAAACCTCGGTGCCGGGGTGGGGAGAATGACTCTGAGCACCCACCAGCCATTCCGCTCTTTGCCTCTTCTTGTCATCTTTGGCTTCTCTTTGCTCGTTTCTCGCACAGCACAGATGCTCTTGCAGCCCCTCCTGGAAGAATCAGGGAGGGGGGAGATTTTATATATATATTTACAAATGACTACAAACGCTCTCACAGCTGGCAGATTTCCTGTGTTGCAGCTGCCCATGCAGCGTCCCTGGGATTCACACCCAGAGCAGGATGTGGCCCTTAGACTTTGTCTCCATTGCAGTCCAACCTCAGCAAGGCAGGTGTGAAAAGGGAAACAAATAAAAACAGAACCCACCTTGTCGCCAGAGGCCCAACCCCCAGCTGCAAATATCCCCCACACTATAGGGCAGTGGTTCTCAACCAGGGGTACACATACCTCTGGGGGTACGCAGAGGTCTTCCAGGCGGTACATCAACTTATCTAGATATTTGCCTAGTTTCACAACAGACTATATAATAAGCCCTAGTAAAGTCAGTACAAACTAAAATTTCATACAGACAGTGACTTGTTTATACTGCTCTCTGTACTATACACGGAAAAGTAAATACAATATTTATATTCTTCACTTATCACTACCCTATCTCTCTACCTTCCCCATCTGGTCTCCTTCCACACTCAGTCTCCTCGTCCCTCATTTCCCTTCACAGTATCCTACCCTTCATTTTCCCTTTCTGCCAACCTGATTTCTGTGGCCACCTCATCGTCCCCTGCCCCTCCCCCGCACATTCATGTTTCCCCGCCTTATCCTCCTGCATGACGATTCCCTTTATTCTGTCAGTGTCCCTTCTGCATCCTCTACTTCCCCAGGCCTCTCTCAGCCTCTTCTTGCCTGACATCTTTATATGCCCCCTCAGCATCCTGCAGCTCTTCAATTTTCTTTCTGCTCCCCATCCTTATGCATAGAAATGCCACCACCTCTTCTTGGGGCAGCTTGGCTTCAGCTTTCATAACAGGAATGGGAACTGAGGGTCACGTTGAATAGGAGGAAATTTACAAGTTAGTTTCCAGGCAATGTGAGATCCTGGGGTGCTCACAGCCCCCAGAAATAAGAACATAAGAACGGCCATACTGGGTCAGACCAACAATCCATCTAGCCCAGTATCCTGTCTTCCAACAGTGGCCAATGCCAGATGCCCCAGAGGGAATGAACAGAACAGGTAATCATCAAGTGATCCATCCCCTGTCGCCCATTCCCAGCTTCTGGCAAACAGAGATTAGGGACACCATCCCTGCCCATCCTGGCTGATAGCCATTGATGGACCTATCCTCCATGAATTTATCTAGTTCTTTTTTGAACCCTGTTATAGTCCTGCCCTTCATAATATCCACTGGCAAAGAGTTCCACAGTCTGACTTTTGTTTGTTTTAACCCTGCTGCCTATTAATTTCATTCTGTAATTTTCACTCCATGCATCTGAAGTGAGGTTTTTTACCCACAAAAACTTATGCCCAAATAAATCTGTTAGTCTTTAAGGTGCCACCGGACTCCTTGTAGTTTTCAAATGGTTATTTATAGGAGTCTGTGGCCTTTTGTACTTATCTGGGGTCTAGCGTGGAGGCCGAGTTGCACCTCACAATCTTTAATGTAGTTATCCTCACAACTCTTTCTTTCCTAAAAAACACAAATTCTGCTTGCTTTCTCCATCAAATACGTATGGTTTCCCTGGAACCCCTCTGCCATCTCCTCTCCGGTTTAGTTACTGGAGCAGACAACACTGCCAACCTCAAACTTTGAAAAACCACTAGTCGGGACAAAAATAATAATAAAATAAATAATAACAAATAATGAGATAGGTTTATAAACATGAGGGGAGGGGTGTTTAATAATAAATGTGTTTTGCTTTCTGGCTTCTGACCCCTAAGGTTACACTGAGGTCATGTTTTCAAACCTGAGGGCTAGAAACTTTTTTTGGGGTGAAAGCTGAGATGCTCACCAAATCAATGGCTTTAAGAAAAAGCACCAATTACCTAAAGACTCTCAATAAAATCACAAGAGCTGGCAGCAACAAGAAGCAGATTCTGAGAGGAGCGGAGGAAATTGGCTCCCTTGCTGTTAAGGCAGCTCATATCCCTCCCCCGGGTGCATTCACAACCAGGGAGCAGGTTCCCAGGGGCTGCAAGGTCTGAGGCTCCCCGGGGATCCTTTGTACAGAGAGTCACTTTCCAGCCCATCCCCAGCCCTGTCCCCACCACCTGCAGTCTCCAGCTCAGGATGTCGGCAGAGCCCGGGGCTAGTTCCAGCCACTGGAGAAAGTCCCCATCTCTGCTGGGCACAGAGGGGGCTGTAATGCAGGTCTCTCCCGGGCCCAGACCCCGTGTGGGAGCAGCAGCTGCTCAGTCCCGGCTTCCAAGAGCCCTGATTACTGACCACTCAAATCCAGGGACAGCAGCTGCCGCACAAGATCTCTGACTCCGCTTTTCCCATCTCCCACTTCCTTCCTCCCAGCACCACCAGCCAGCTGTCAGCTGATACAGCCCCTTCCCGTGTCCCTCAACACCAGCCCCGCCTGCAACAACACTCTCTGTGGGACCCGGGACTTTCCCAAGCTGGAGCTCGCCTTTGGCTAGAAGAACCCAGGCGTCCTGACTCCCAGCTCCTCCACACACACACCCCGCGCCCCAGTCCTGCTCTCTCACCCCACCCCGACCCTGCTGGGTGTACCCCCCTCACAGCCAGGGATCTGCATTTCTTTTCTTCCATCCAAGCCGAGGAGGGCTTTTTTCCCTCCCCATCCAGAGTCGCATTCACCGAGTGTCACAAACACCCTAGGAGGGGCCCTGGCACAACCATGGAGAAGCTCCTCCGTGTTCCCCCCACTCATCCTGGTTGCAGAGGAGCCATGGGGTAACTTACAAACTGCCCCCTTCTGACCCAGTTTGTTACTTCTAGCAGTTACTGACAACTAGCTATTTTCTTTTGCTGCGCCCTTGCTGTCGCTGTCTTCTGTCCCATCGTGTAGTGCAGGGGAAGCAAATTGAGACGGATATTCCTGTCGAAATTTGCTACTCCACCATCCCATCTCCTAGCCCAGGAGTAGCAAATTGTGACTAATGGGGAGAGTTATACATGCCATAATTTGCTACCTCTGCCGTTCCCCGCCTACTGGTCCATGGGTATCAAATTGTGAAGGGCGGCCCCCTCCTGTCACATTTTGCTACCAATGTGAACTCTCTATTTTTAATTTGGACACAAATAAAGAAAGGTTGGGTTTTTTTTTTGGAAAAGCATTCTAGAGCATGAAACCTCAGGGCTGTTGTATGTAACCCCCTGAGGGAAGGCATAGTTATTTCTTGATTAGTCTCTTTCGATTGTAGATTAGGCCATACAGTTTCTATAGGGTTACCATATTGCAGTCCTGGAAAAAGAGGACACTCCAAGGGGCCCCGGCTCCGCCCCAACTCCGCCCCCGGCCCTGCCCCAACTCCGCCCCTTCCCCGCCCCAACTCCGCCCCTTTGTCCAGTGCTTAACTACCTTTACAGTTAGGAAGTTTTTCCTAATGTCTAACCTAACTCTCCCTTGCTACAATTTAAGCCCATTGCTTCTTTTTCATGCATGTCCTGAGTGGGATGGGGGTGGGTCCAGGCAGTGGGATTGGGGGGAGGGAGGTCGAGGGAGTCGGTGGGTGTGTGGGGATGGACCGGGGGAAGCAGGGTGGAGGAACTGAGGGGGACAGGACTGGGACTGGGGGGGGCTGAGGGGGATGGGACAGGACTGGGATGGGGGGAGTAGGGTAGGGGCTGAGGGGAGCATGAATGGGACAGGGTAGAGAGAGCTGTGTAGAGTGGGGGAGACAATGGGGCTGGGCTGGGGAGGGTTGGGGGGTTGGGGAGACGAACAGGGTCTGGAGGGGATGAGACAGAGGGGAGCAGTACTGGAATGGTGGGAAGTTGAGGGGGTGGGACAGCAGGGGGAGCGATGGGGGTGGGATGACGGGGGAGGCTGAAGAAGAGATTTGGGGTAGGGCAAGGCTGAGGGCAGTGGGTTGGGGGGAGCAGGGGGACTGTGGGGGAGGCTGTTGGAACGGGGGCAGGGACTGAGGGCAGTGGATTGAGGTTGGGGGCCACAGGGGGGACTGCGGGGGAGGCTGAGGGAACAGGGTCAGGGTGGGGCCTGAGGGCAGTGGGTCTGAGGGGAGCCCCCCCAGAGGGACCTGACAGGGGGCCAGGTGAGCCCAGCAGTGCTTACCTGGAGCGGCTCCCAGGAAGCATGCAGCGGGCAGGTCCCTCCCAGTCCCTCTGGCCCCTTCCTAGGGTCGGGTCGGGTCGAGGGGAGGGGGCAGGGGCGGGGGGTTCTCTGCCCGGCGACAGCTGCCTGCTGCCGGAGTCTACAAGCCCCGCCCCACTGCAGCACGCAGGGGAGTGAGACCTCCCTGCCTCTCTGTGTGCCGGGGCAGGGGCAGGGCTGCGCTCTGCAAGCTCCTGCCGGCCGGGTGGGGGGCCCAGTGGGCTGGCGCCGCCGCGCCGGGAGCTCAGCTGCGCGCTGCCCCAGGGCCCAGGGAGGAAAGGTGAGTGATGCCGGCGGCGCCGGCTTGCCGCGGCTGCCCTGTCCTCGCTTTTGGGTCTTTAAATAGCCGTCCGGGGGAAAATCCCGGACATTTTTAGCTTTTTACAAATTCCCCCCGGACGGCTATTTAAAGACCCAAAAGCCGGACATGTCTGGGGAAACCCGGACAAATGGTAACCCTAGTTTCTATAGCAAACAAACATGTAATGCACACAAAACTCCAAAAATGGTGCAAAGCATTGTAAACAGTATTTGAAATACGAACACCTTCGAAAGACAAGTTGTCCAGGCAGAAAATCGACCATTGTTCCTTGTGCAGACTTCCTCACATTGTCTCTGTTACATATAGTGAACAAGTTTTCAACACAGAATTTGTAGTTCTATACAAAACAAAACAATTACCTTTCTTAGCAGTGAGGAAAAGACCTAAGGGCTAGATTCACCAAGGGACTTAGAAGTTGTGATGCTGAGTGTTGCAATACCAAATTTTCTGATGCCTAGAAAGTCACAGGAACAGTGGTGAGACCCACAAAACCTGACTCAAGTTTCTAGGACCTAGTCTATACAATGAATGAGGAGAGAGAGGAGCCTTAGAATTCAGTCCACAAAAGCCAGTGAGCTAAGTGGGGAGAAGCCTAAGCTTGCCAATGGGAAATCCTGATGAGAAGGGTCTGTCCTAAGCACATGGGCGGCCTGTCATCCTGCCATTGGGGGAGGCTAGTCCCCAGCCCTGCCCCTCCAGCCCAAGGCCCTTCCCCTCCCTATCTGCCCCCTCTTCCCCGCAGGAGCTGATAGTACAACCCCACCGCGGACCCCGGCCCCAGCCCCAGTGCTCTAGGCAACGCGGCCAGCCCCGGTGCGCTGGGCAGCGCAGCCCCAGCCCCAGCCATCCTGACTCCCTGCCGGAGGTAGGCCAGCCAAGGCAGAGCGCTGGACCACAGCAGAACCTGGCCTGGGGGCAGGGCCAGCTCCAGGTTTTTTGCTGCCCCAAGCAAAAAAAAAAAAAAAGCCGGAGTGCCGCCGCCGAAGCAAAAGCCTGAATGCCGCCCCTTGAGAAGTGCCGCTCCAAGCACATACTTGGAACGCTGGTGCCTAGAGCCAGCCCTGCCTGGGGGCAAAGCATGGGCGGGGGCATGCTAGGCTGTTTGGGAAGGCACAGCCTACTGCCTATGATACCTGCCATCCATGCCTAAGCCCCATAGATAACTCATGCCTCCTGATACTGAGGGGGCACAATGTAAAGGAGGGGACACGTGACCACCCCATGCATCGCCTCCGGGAGGAACTTCCAGCCCCACCTCCATAGACCTGGGCAGCCACAAGATCAGGGAGCACATGACTCTGGGCCCGGCTGGGGCAAGCCCTGGCTCAGGGAGACTGACAGCACCAGTGTTTCCCTGCAGCTCCCGGACTCCTCGACAAGGGAGGGGCGGGGCACAGGCAATGCCCCTACCTCCGGCTGAGCAGAGACCAGGGAACCAGCTCCTGGCACCTTCCCCAGTGACGCCCTGCCCTGCACCCAGCCTGGGGACTGCTGTGCTCTCCCCACCCCATCAGAGTAACCTGTGGGGGAGGGGGACTCTGTCCTTCTCCTGCTGTGCTTGCCCCCAGCACATTTCCAGCTTGCTTGGCTGTTGTCCCTGGCAGCTGGCCCTGGGCCCAGGCGGGCTGAGGGTGGCTGTTCCAGGAGCCCAGCTGGGGAGGCAGCAGTGGCCCACCCCCTCTGCTCCCCACCTGGGCCCGGCTACCTGGGACAGGGGCCGCGCGAGCCGGAAACATGCCGAGGGAATGGGAAGCTCAGGCTTGCTTGGCCCCTTTCCCTGGCTACTGGGCCTGGGGGGGAGCAGAGGGGGCGGGCCCCCAGCCTCCTCAGCTGGGTTCTCACAGGCAGCCTTCACACTACACAGAGCAGTGACCCAGAGCAGCCTCCCATCCTTAGCCTGCATGAGAAGTGGCTCCGTCCCACCCCTTCTGCTCTCTGCCCAGGCCCGTCTGCCAGGGAGAGGGGCCCAACATGCCAGGAGGCAGGCACAGCAGGAGAAGGATAGAGCCCCTCTCTCCCCACCTCACCCCTGGCAGGCCGAGCAGAAACCTGGGGGGGCACTTGGTCCTGCATTACCCGCCCCCGCAACGTGTAGCCTACGCTAAGCCCCACCTGCCTGATACAGTTCAGCACCTAAGGCAATGTCTACTCTACAAGTTTTGCTGATGCAATTTACGCCAGCATAAAGCTGCTGCAGTTAGTACAGTAACTCTTCACTTAACGTTGTAGTTATGTTCCTGAAAAATGCAACTTTAAGTGAAACGATGTTAAATGAATCCAATTTCCCCATAAGATTTAATGTAAATGCGGGGGGTTAGGTTCCAAGGAAATTTTTGGGGGCAGACAAAAGGCATTATATACTGTACAGTACTGTACTGTACTGTGGTGGGGAGGTGCCCCTGGCTTACCCCTGGGGCACAGGGCTGGGGGTGCAGGGTCTGGGAGGAAGTTAGGGTGTGGGCGGGTGCTCAGGGTGGGGGTGCGGGAGGAGGATCAGGGCTGGGGCAGGCAGGAGGTGCAGAGCACTTACCTGGGGCAGCTCCTGTTTGGTGCAGGGGGTGTGCAGGTGGCTCTGTGCAGCGCGGCACCGCCCCCATGGCCGCAATTCTGGGAGCCGCGATTCTGGGAGCTGCCTCCCCCCGCAGGCAGGGCCACCCAGAACACAGGGGCTTTAGGGGCTGCAGGGCCCTGGGCTAAGGGGGCCCCGGGGCCCTGGCCTGCAGCTCTAAAGGCCCTTTCGGAATGTGGCCCTGCGAGCATGGGCCGGAGGACTCAGGAAGAGCAGGGGCAGGTGCGCAGCCAGCGGCTGGAGAGAAGCGGCGCTTTCCCCTTCAAAGCGGCGCTTTTTCCCTGCTGGGGGAGGGGGGCA